GTGTATTTAAGTTCTGTCTTGTCTCAGTCTGTTGTCAGATCCTTGTTTGGTGTTTGCTGTTGCCTGTTTGCTGTTTGTGCTCATGTCATGTCATGCCTAGTCAAGTTTTTGTATTACCAAGTCAAGTTTTTGAATTTAGTTTGCTGTCACATCAGCTTCTTGTTTTCATTTATTAAACATTTTTGCTACCTCACTCAGTCCTGCATCTGGGGTTCATACCAACCTTGCCAACACATTACATTAACTCTTTTTCAAAAAACCCAAAAACCACCTCAAGTCAGCGTATCAACTTTGATACGAATTAGAGGAAGTGTTTTCAAATCATGCCGTTTCCATTCACCTTTTCTGATGCAATATTTCAAAATGCGCATTAAAAAACRTTGATGGGAACACTGCAAATGATTTTTCAAACATGCATGAACGAGTTAAAGCAACACTCTGGGTGTGTTTTTGATGAGGGGATGACATTAGAACATGAAATAAAGCTCAAAAAAGTTTAGACTGCATRTGACTGTGTCTGGAGATTTTTGGTTTGAATGGCATTATGTTTCTCAAAGTTTATATTTGTGATGGATTGTTTTAATGTTTTAATCAGAGCTTGGTTTTCTTTATTTGTTCCAGTTTTTGCAGTTGTTGGAACCATCTTCAGAAATGAAACCTAAATAATATGGCTCTAAAGACAAACATACAACACGTGTCTCAGTTTGTGAAAAGTACATATTTTTTCTTCAAAGCAACAGTGTTGATTTGTTGATTGAAAGATTTGTTTGAGAAAAAACCCTCTGTTTTCCTTTAGTGAAGGTCCTCTGTGACACAAATTCAGTCTGATGCAGGAGAGAAAATCAAGGTTAGTCTGCAGCAAAAAAAAAAAACCTCTGAGGTAGGTTTTTACTTTATCAGTTATTTTAAATGAGACTTTAACCTAGTACTTTGCAGCAGCTGCGTCAGACTAGCACATCAATAAATGAAATTACGCACTAAAGCTTAATCTTTAYAAAAGAATCAGTTTGCTTTGTTAATGCCAATGTTAATTTACTTTGATGGCAAAACAACAGTATTGACAATAAGCGCTTCACAGGAAAGGGAAGAACAAACAGGAACAACCATATAAATACAGTATGTGTGTATGTGTATTTATATATATGCACACACACACACACATATACGTATATATATATGTGTGTGTGTGTGTGTGTCTATATATGTACACACACGTGTGTGT